AAAAATTTCAAGAATTCAGATTGAGCTGTAGCTGTATAATAAATATTTTATCTTCAGAGTATTTTCTGCAATTAAAAGGTGAATCCTGTGTATAACTAGCAGAAAATACTATTTCTGTTTCAACTGTGCTAGCATACCCAGGAATAATTTAGATATAACCAGTTTTAAGAATATCCAGTTTTGAGGCCTTAACTCTTAGTTGCCAGGATTTGATACCACAGGGGATAAGGCATGATCGTAATCTCCATTTTCAAAGATATTATTCTGGTCTTAGATGATGGCTCCCATATTACATTGGAATTTGCAATTCCAATTGTCTAGGATGTTAATTTTCCTCATATTCTCATTCCATGAGAATGTTACGGCCTCACTAAAAGTTGTAAAATCTCCCTTGAGGGAGATGGATGGTCTAGAAATATGTAATATACAGTAAATGAATAGGGTTTACTTTTACTCTTCATTCTCGACATGTTATATTTAGGTAGACTTTAGGTGTGAAAGAAAACATATTTCCATTCTTATAGTTACAGAGGATTAGTTTTCTTCACCTTTTCCACATTTTTACACTCTTCTTATTGTTAGGTTTTACTTGTCATCTCTATTTATACTTCTGTCAGAAGAACCTACCTTGAACTTTTCTAAAGGTTTTTGAAGTACCGTAGTTTTATTAGAACCCAGTCTCTCTGTTAGTTTGCTTAATGCTTATTAAGTGTGTTAACTCTTATCAGTGTGAAATGTACTTAGACTAAAAAGAAACATTTTATGATGAGATGTTAAGCCTTGTAATTAACATATTGTGATGATTAAGCCTAGTAAATGGGAAAATTAGCATCTTTACACCCTTCTGATATAGAGCAAAGATTTATTTATTATTTATTTTAAACATTTATATAAGTGCCCATCTTATTCTGAACTCTCGGCAGCTCCCAATCAAGAATTAGAACAATATCAGTAATAAAACAAAGCCACATTAAAATGATTAAAACCATGAACAATAAAAAACAAAAACCCGGCACCAAGTTAAACTCTGACATACGGTCACTTCATTCTATCCTAGCGCTTGCTTGGGGGGGGGATGAGGGGGGAAGCAAGGTCTTCAAAACTTTATGGAAGGCTAGGTGGATAGAGAGGCCTGTTGAATTTCAGGGGACAGAGTGTTCTATAGGACGGGGTGCTACAGAAAAGACATGCTTCCTAGTTCTCATAAGTGGCAAAATTTAAGGGAAGTGACTAGGAACATGTCTACCCTATTTAACCTGATAGGGAGGGTGGCTGTCCTTAGGGAAAGGCTGTCCTGTAGAAAAAAACCTGGCAATGCATCATATAGGGTAGAGGTCCCCAATCTTGGCAACTTTAAGACCTGTGGACTTCAACTTCCAGAATTCCCCAGCCAGCAATGCTGGCTGGGGAATTCTGGGAGTTGAAGTTGCCAAGGTTGGGGACCCCTGATATAGGGCTTTAAAGGCAATAACCAGAACTTTGAACTGTACCCAGAAGGAATCTGGGAGCCGGTGCTGCTTGTACAACAAAGGTATCACATGGGTAAACCTAGGATCACCAATCACTGTACACGCTGCCACATTTTGAATCAGACCAGGCAAGCATGATAATGCTATTTCATGAGCTCTTCAGATTTAGGACAGAAAAGAATCTTGATTTGAGCCCATTATGTGTTTTAACTTAGGATGCAACATCCCCATGATAAGGACCCATTTTAGTTTATATCTTAACTCTGGTAAGGATAAATTTGCATGATAACTGCACAATGAAATAAATGGCCTAATCACTAAAGCCACATACATTTTCAGGCTGATTCGTGTAATAAACATCAGGGTCTGATGCATACAACCATAGCTCTTAGCTTGTACTAAATGTTTGCACATTTGTGAAAGCAATCTTTGTAGCTGAGGCACAATTTTTAAATTGCAAATGGATGTGAAGCTGTTCTTTGCCCATATTTAAAAGATGTTTCTGTGCCTCAAAGGAACTGAAAAACAAGGAAATCCATGACCCAACTGCCTTGTATATGTGCTCTATAAGCAGTGGCAGTGTCTCTAAAACCGGATCTGTTGCATAATGTGAGAAAATTAATTCCAACTCATGCAATTTAAAAGCAGAATTATTTTTTTCAAAAAGCAAGGCTACAGCGGGCTTTTATTTAATTTGAATTTAGTAGCTGCCTAATGCCAATAGACGTAAGACTAGCCTTCTACTCTTAAAACATTTGCAGAATTTTCGTGCTCTGCCTTTATTTCACTGGTAATCTGAAAAAAGTTGCAAAGTGATTCCAAAAGCATAACTGAGCATATATTGGGGGAAAGGAGATGCCATAATGGATGCCAACTATGAAATTTCTGCAGTATTTCAAGCAACAGCAGAAATAGCCACCCTCTATTCTTGAGAGGCCACATAGGGTTTACCTGAACTGCTCTCTTAATTTAGAAAAAGAAGTGGAAGAGGGAAAGATGGCCATGTTTTCAAGTCACCCCCCGATTTTTCTTAACTTGTGCTACTCTTCTATTTTTATTCCTCTTCTCACTTCAGTTAAAGAGGATTAGTGGGAGCAGTGCACACTAATATGCATGGGAATCAGAACGAGGATAATCCAATAACTTTTCCTGTTGGGATGAGCAGTATTTGGAAAGGATGTCCTGATTTTAGAGATGATGGGGGAACCTAGATTTTGCATTTGAACATCAGTGAAAATACTTGTCTCTGGACCTACAGCTTTCCATAGAACGTTCTAAAGTACACCTGTCCAAGTAGGACATCAAAAAAAATACTAAGAACCCAGATATAGTGGGTTGTTGAAGAGAATCCATAAACATATCCTGATGTTTACTGAATTAGAAAATTATCAGTGTTGCAATTAATTTTCTGCAACATTGGCATGAAAGATGAAAATACCTTCTTCCTTGAGTTGGAATATGTACATACGAAATTGTTTTTGTACTTTTTTATTTTATAGTTCATTCTATTCTCTAAGGCAAAAAGTAACAATAAATCATGCAGAGCAAAGACCAAAATAACCTGGGTCATCTTTGATCCTTAATGAAACCTAAGCTATCCACAAAGTCTCTCTATCAGCAGTTTGTGAAATAATTATCAACACATTCTGTCTAACATAGTTACACATTCTTTTTTATTTGATACCATTCTTATTTTTACAGTGTGTAGAAACATACAGTACATGTGAAACTGCTTTCTCCTTATACAGTCTGTCTCTTCTGCCTTCCACTGCAGTTAAGTCACCCATCTCAATCTGGAAACACTAATCCACTTTGAAATTGTTGAACCACTGAATGTAAAGTGTAGCATTACTTCTTTACAACTACTATTCCTTGGCTCCGAAAGTTAAGTGCTATTACCAGCTACTTGAGAAACTAAAAAAATACCAGAATTTTAAGCCAAAAATATGTTGGTAATGGAAAATAGTATCTTAAACCATCTTGGGAAGGGGGCAGGAGATAAGCGTATTTTTTCTATTAAATTTTGAGTACAAAAATAAATTTTGAAATGCTCAAAAGGATAATATCTCGTGTTTATACTGAGGTAGATGAGTCTCAGAGTTTTGATAATCAAAAAGCATGAGCATTTGGTAAAGCTCAACAATCTGCAGAATACAGCAAATTTTAGAAAAAAGTTTGCATAATTTATATAGTCATGGAACACTGCATATATTGATGCAAAATGTATATACTTGGATTACACTGAGTCATCAGTGTCGAAACCATCAAATGGAAGCAGGTTAAGAAACTGCGTCATAATGGGATATTCTGGAGCAAAGTCTTTTGAGAGTTGACAGAAAACAATACCTTATTTAAAGGTCATTAACTCGGGTCATTAATGAGCACCTTCTGGAGATTTTCCGGAACCTCTGTGTAACAGCACCAATTCTGATTTTTTTTTTAACATTACAATGAACTTGCTAAAGTTGAAGCAACTTCTCTTATTAACTGATGCGGCTAAAAGAATACATTTACAAACAGGCCCTTTACAGATTTATTTTTATTTTTTCATTCAAAGGATCTCACCACAGTACTGTCTGATTACACTGTTAAGCCTCTGAAACAGAACAGAATATACACTGGCTGAATAAACCAACAGTAAGCCACTTAAACCATTAGTGGTTTGGGATACCATGACTCCTCCTTGTTCAGAGACATTTATGCTGAATCCTACTGTCTTCCTAAATGACAGGAGCCCATGATCTTTTCCAAGTGGAGCAAAGATGAATTCCTCGTAGCTCTTCCACATTCCTAAATACAGTTCTCTCCGTATTTTGTCTTGCAAAGAAGTATCCGATTCTCTGCAATTTTCCATAATCAACTTTCTCCAGCAAACCTATCTGGATAAAAGGGATTGGGGGGGGGGGGAGAAACCTGTTTGGATAAAAGTATAGGGGACGGGGGGGGGGAGAAACAGTTAATAGTTATGTGCTGATGGATGTTCATTGTGTTCATGCCCACAATTCACCTACTCCGTGTAACAGCCAGATATGTCTTATAAGTCAAATAATGAGATTTATTTTTGTAGTTGTTGCTATACATAAAAACAGAAGAAACTTGTTGAGAAATTGTTGTCATTAAATGGGGGGGGGAGGGAGTGTTTCTACCACCTTTTAATGTTGAAATGTAGTACCTGTCTGGGTAAATGGCAATTTGCATATACATCAAAAGGAAATTGTTTATTATTAGCAGAGAATCATCAGGTGATATACACCCATTGCATGTAAAAGAAGAGAGTATACATATATATACATACAGATCTATTCTGCAATTTAATCCAAGCACATCTCTTTACATGATTGCAGATTGTCCAGAAGGGATTTTATCAATCATCAGACAAACTAGAATAGCAAGTTTGTCATGACTGACTTTTCTGTAAAATATTGGGAAATTCTGAAAGAGTCCTATGCCAACTTTCTCCAACCAGGCACCCTACAAGGTATCATTACCACAATCCACAGTAAGAATGAAGATAATGGAAGCTTTAGAAAAAAAATACATTTGAACAACACAAGGTAGGAAAAGAATGTCTTAACACATGCTGCTTGGTTTGGTGGGTTGGCAGATAAATCCAACAGACCAATTTGGCTTGTCCAAATAGAAACCAAACCTTGGGCTGGGCCCCAAACTTTCTGCAACATGCAATACTTCAAGGTATCTTTAGGCAGTATGAAAGCCACTGTTCTGCCCCTCCAGCATGAAAGGAATTGCTCTTCCCCTGCCACAGTGACACCACCGCACCAGCAGACTTTTGCCATTTAAGCTGGCTGCTTTAGATCCAGTAGAAGGGCATCCCCTTTTGTCTCTGGTTTGATCAGGTTCTTCTCAGGAGGAATCACTATTTTCTCATCTGCCTGAGAAAGGTTTTTTGATCCGTTCCCTTTGTCCTTCTTCACTTTGGTTATCACTTCAGAGTAGGAAATTTCTTCGATGGCTGGTTCAGCTTCCCTACTTTCTGTTGCTGTTTGAGTGCCAGATTCTTGGGTTCCTTGTTGGCCTTCAGCCCCCGGTTGCTCTTTAGTTTTCCTATACTTTTTCAAATTCTCCTTAATTGGTGCTGCATTGGCAATATTTTTCTTGAACCGTATCCCAGTCTGTCTCAACCTCTCTCCCGATTGCCTTATTCGTTCCCTTCTCTCGGGGGTTACTATTCGAGTACGAAGCCTGTCCACCCTCTTGCCAAAATTTTGCCTTGTTTTCTGAAGGTTTTCTCTTGAAAATGCTTTTTTGATTATGCTGATGCGCCTCATCCCCAATTTCTTTAAACGGGCTGTTCGGCTTTCTTCTATGTAATACTCCTCGTCAGACGAGAGATCATCGGGTGGGCAGAAGGCATCTTCTCTGCTTTCCTCTTGTGTTCTGTCTTGGACAACGGTCAGAGAAGATGGACACTGAATGTCTTCCTACAAGTAAGAGCACAATGTTATGTCTCTACCACACTTCTCAAGAATGGCTCAAAACGAATTTAGAAAGTTCAAGATACTTGCTCCCTCAACCATTCTATTTTATGCTATAGATTTTTCAGAACATCCACAAAGACTCAGTAGCGATTATTGTTGTCCTGTCCCTGTGTAGCCTATTTTATTTTTCCAAACAACTTTCTAATTGTTCATATGTTAGGGGTTAGTCCAGACCAGGGGTAGGCAACATTGGCTCTTTTATGATTCGTGGACTTCAAAGAGCCAAGGTTGCCTACCCCTGGTCCAAACCATTAATAAGAAATTAACCACAAAATCATATTTTTCTTATACTTTATTGCTCCTTCCTCTTTAACAGTATTAATTGCTGTTAATAACCCAGATAATTACTGTTAATAACCCAGTTAATAATAACCCAGATTTGAACTGCGGTCAAGAAGAAATCCTGATGAGTCTTTGTAGCATAATGAGCCTTTGTATAGTAATAAATGTCAGTCACACATACACACACAAAAACACACAAACTCTATGGGGAGTAAACCTTCGACAGCCCATTCATGATTAATTAAAAATAGTTAAGTGACCAGTTGCTCTTTTGTCTATTCCAACCTTTGTTGTTTTCAGTACAGCTACCCTGCAAAAACTGTAGAGTTGGGCTATAGAAACAAATTCAACAATAAAAGTTATATGGAGATTAAAGATGGGCAAGTAATCGCAATCAAAACCAAAGAGACAGCTAATGGGGATTGCGTCCATGGAGAAAAATAGAGCAGCAAGGCTTGGAATCTTACAGGTGGCATTCTAGCAGTGGCCAAATCACCAAAAGGCTCCAGATTGACTTATAAAATAGCAATATGTCCTGAAAATATGCTGTTTGATCTCTCTATCTAAAAGAGAATCATCTTTCCAAATAGGAGATTGTTATGCAATTCGAGATCTCAAAGGGACATGCAAATGTGGCAGTAGAAAAACTTGGAGGAATTTGCTTTAAAGTATTTATAAAATGAATATACTTCAACATATGCACAAGGAACAATGGACAGAAGGAGCAATTAGAATACCGTGCAGCATAAACAAGGTACTGCAGTATAAAAATTAACATATCTTAGTAACAACCTTCTAAATAATACTAACTAAATATCATACTAACAACAATCAGCCTCTTATGGCCTTCCAAAACAGCCTGGTCTGTACCTGGAATCGTATAGATCAGTGGTGGCGAACCTATGGCACTTGTGCCAGAGGCAGCACTCGGAGCCCTCTCTGTGGGCACACACGCTGTCGCCCCAGCCCTGCCTCCCCCCGCAGCTCCCTCCTCACCAGCAGCCCTCCCAAAGAAGAGTCACCCCCGGGTGCGGCCCGTGCAGAGCTGCACAGCCAAGCATATGGCAGCTGGGCAGCGGATGATGCTGTGGGGTGCGGGTGGAGGGCGTGGCCACCATGGTGCTGCAGGGCCACCTGGGTGATCTGCGGTGTGCCGTGGATGGCCCTGAGGGTGGGCGGGGTGGGAGCGGCAGGTGGAGCAAGGGCGGGGCGGTTTTTGGTTCGCCATCACTGGTATAGATCTTTTAGTCCAATCCCCTACTCAGATTGTCGTATCATCCTGGGGAAATGGCTGTCCTTTTTTTTTTTTAAGTCTTCCACTGATGAAGCATCTATAACTCCATCAGGAAGGAGGCTGTTCCGTTCCTTAATGGTTCTCACAGTCATGCAATTCTTCCTTATTTCAAGTTTGGATCTCTATAAACCTTCCACTCACTGGTTTTTGTCTTACCCTCAGGTGCTATAGGGGGTCAATTCAGTCTCTTCCCACTGACATCCCTTCATGTAGTGGAAGGCTGCTATCATGTCTCCCTTAGCCTTCTCTTCTTTAGGCTGAACATACTAAATTCCTAATTATTCAAAATGTCAAGCCTCTTACCATTCTTGTGGCTGTCCCTTGCACTCTTTCCAGTTCCTCAGCATTTTTCTTGTATTATGGAGACCAGAACTGGACAGTTTTCCAGCTGTGGTTTGACCAGTCTAACATAAAATGTAGTATCACTTGCTAAGATCCTGACACTATACTTTGATTGATGCCACTCAAGATTGCATTGCCTCTCTTGGCATCTGTGGCGCACTGTTGACTTATTCTTAATCTGTTATCTCCTGGGACACCCACATCTCTCTCATCTACTAACCCAGATACTGCCTAACTTATACCTGTGCAACTGGTTTTTCCTGCCTAAATTCAGAGTCTTACATTTATCAACATTCTCATGCATCTGGCTCTGAGATTTGCAGACTTCCTTGTGTTGGAGAGAAGAAATAAGATGTTCCAAAGGAGAGGAGCTCCCACAGAGAATGCTTGCTTCTGTGACTACTCCCACCACACCTATTACGGGGAGGGTGGCTTGGCATTTGTTCAGATTGGGCAAGCAGATTGTATTTGAGAAAGGCAGTAGCCTGAATTACAGTACTCTAGTTGATAAGGTGGTTCCTAATGCATCAACTAAAGCTGGCCAGGGCCCCTGAGACCATGGTTTCCAATTGCTCTTCTAGCAGGACTTTGAATTCATGAGTAGCACAAGTTATCATCCGGTACTCTGCTTGGGACCACAAGTCAACTGAGAGACAAAGCTGCTACTATTTCAGAATCACCAGGCCTCTCAAAAGTGGACAGTAAGTTTTGTTGCCAAGATTACAGGGAGTAAAATAAGATTTAAATCCAGAACCTCCAGATAACATTTTGAAGTGGTTCAAGCAGATATCTCCCAAAGTCACTGAACTAAAAGAAGGAGAAGTAAGTCCTTGACTTGTGGCCATTCATTTAATGGCCATTCAAAGTTACAACAGTACTAAAAAAAGTGGCTTATAACCAGTCCTCACACATAAGACTGTTGCAGCATCCCCACGGTCTTGTGAGCAAAATGGGTGCTTGGCAACCCATTTACAACGGCTGCAGCAGCCCCGGAGTCAAGGAATTGACATTTTCAACCTTTCCAAAGGGTTTCCAACAAGCAAAGTCAATGGGGGAACCTGGATTCGCTTAGTCATCATGTGATTCATTTAACAACTGTGGCAAAAAAGATTGTAAAATCAGCATAACTTGCTTAATGACAGTATTGCTTAGTGATGGAGGTTCTGTCCCATTTGTGACCGTAAGTGGAGAGTTACCTGTACAACACAATTGGATTTGCAAGTTTTGTTATTATATTTAGTTTTAATAAAGGTAGTTTTTAGCCTTCTGTGGAGTTGACTTTTTTGGACTGGACTATCTAGTGGGACTAACAGAACCAATAGCCACCTCATCTTGCTCAGGGTCCATCTGATCCGCTTTCTCTCCATCCAGACCCTGCCATCCTCCTGGCAGCAGTTTAGAACTTCCATTGCATTCTCCATTCAACCTGCAGTGGAGTTTCCCCATTGAGTAATATCACCTCACTAATACCTCACCTCCAACTGGCAGTTTACCTCTTTCAGGGGCATCACAAAGATTTTAACAGGACAGGGGAAAGTACTATAGCATCTTCTACTGGAGTGCTCTAAGACTCAGCTTCTCCCCACCCAACCACTCATTCAAGGAATAGAATCATCATAGTATGGGATCTCAGACAGCCCAAAAAGATGCTGTGGAAAACAGAGTCAAAAGCTATTGAGAAATCTAATAGAGTAGAAGATTGTCATACTCCTCCTACTCAAGCCCTGCCACATGTCATCCATGAGGGCAGCCAATATGATCATAACATAGTCTAAAACCTGTCACAGGTCCCAATAATCTTCCCCAAAAGAGGTTGAAGATAGATCCTATACGATTTAAATTAAGCCTCTTTAGAGCCTGCTGGAAAAGAGACATTGGCTACAGCTTGGATGCCAGGATGTTCTGGGGATTAATCACTATCTTCCAGCATCTGAAAAAGTCAGAGAATGAAACTGGGTCCTTGTGTTCGTACATCACACACCCTAGTATTTCCTAGAAGATATTTTGCTCTTTAATGGAACATACAGCATAAAAAGGGAAGTTCAGGAAAGGTCAGCAAATAATTCCAGTTCTGAAAGATTTAGAGAGATTGTTTAACATTTCACCCAAAACTTTGAGGAAAAAATGTAATTTGCTTAGTTCAGCAGGCTCAGTTCTTCCAGACAAAAGATAACTATGTTGATCCTTGAACTATTACGTGATAAACAAGTAAGCCAGAATTCATTTGTTTCTGATACAAGCATGATGTACATGATAGAATGGAGTAATGTGATAGTGTTTTGTTTTTTTTTCAAAATTAAAAGAAAAAAGAATATAGACCCAATCTATGCAACACCCTGAAAAATGAGGTGGAGTTTAATTTTTCTATTACTGATTTTATGTTTGAGACTGGCTTTCTTGAAACCAACCAATGTTAAGATTAACCAGATTTGAAATTTAAATAAGAAACACCATGTTTATCTAACCCAGTTTTGAAAATGTAACCTTCCCTCCCAACTTCTGGGAAAGAACAAACATGATTTGCTGTAGTTTCTTGTTGCCACTAAAGAGGGCTTTGCTGCAAATCAATCCATCCTCCACAAAATCCCACAAAATGGCTGCCTTCAGCTGAGCAAAACATATGAACTTATTTCGTATGGATGCAGTCACTTTATTTATTCCTTTCCTTACTGAAAAAAAATATGCTTGGAAGCCACAGTCAATTTCCAATTATCTCTGAGTAGAAAATAATGGCAATGTCTCCCAAATAATGCAGAATATAAAACTATTGCTTAATACCGGCTTTTAAATCCTGATTCATTTGGAGGGTGTTAACCATAGTTCAACTAATAGCCAACTGCTGTTTCCTCCAGTGATAATAAGCAACTTCTTTCAAGCCTGTCAAAATCACAACAAAGCAAATTTTAGTCTGAAGAGTTTGAACTTTTGCACATTATACAAAAATCTAAATAATATTTAAATCAATGTAACATTCAATATTCTTCTCAGTGAAGCATGTTGACCAATTGTCCAACTAAACTTCTTGGAGGAAAGAGAGAATAATCAATTAACTGGCAACTAATGACGATGTTTGCTGGTTTCCACCAAACTCCATATTCAATTATGATCAATCACTTTTGGCGAAGGCGCTTTCATTGTATTGCTACAGCAATATTAATCAATCTTTCCACCATTCTGCTGTGTTTTGGTGCAACTTTGCTCCTTGTTGAGTTGGGGCATCATGGAAAATGCAAACATGCTGCTAATCCTAGCTAAGCCCATGGACCATTCAGCCACTTGGCTATTTATACTCTATCTAGCGATGATTAATTCTGCTTCCTGAATATTGGATCACTCTGTGAAGAACAAGACATAACTAGAGATGACATTTCTAAATTTCATAATCAAGACATGCTAGCATAATTCAGAGAATGAATATACATATACATAATTTATTGAGTTCCAGGATTACAGCATCAAAACTTATATGTGCGAGAGGCACATAAATGCACGTAAGATTAGAATTTGCTGCTTTTTAAAAATGTACCATACCATCCACAATAAAAATAAAAGCAAACAGTAATGTAGGAGGATTTTTTTTCCACACCCAAACATGACAGCTGAAGTGTGATGTCTTTTATAAACTGACTTATCTGGAAATAATAATTCTCATGGTTTCAGTGCAACCACAGGAACAATCCAGCCAAAACTAAGGACTACTAAATTCATTTTTTAATTTTTTAAGGAAGAGTTTACATGAGCATCTATAATTCTCATTTTGAAAGCAACATGAGTTCAACAGGGCTCAGCATCATAGCAAATGAGTTGTAGCTGAAAAAATATTTAGGTTGGATTCTTCCCACTATTTGTTTCCAGTGCAGCACATCATATTTTCAATGAATGTCAACTTCCTCAACATATAAAAAATTACACAAACGAAGGCATTTCATGTGTCATCAAGCATTTTGATGAACTAAACAGCAATATTTTTTGTGCAATTGTTATTCTTTGAAAGGAATATAATATTCCAATGGCTAAAAGTGAAGACAATGTAATACTTGACCTTAACAAGAAGAAAGGAGTCTGACTCTCCAACAAGATTTGGGATTCTTAAACACGCTACTGCATTTGCAATTTCAATGCCCCTGCAGCTAAGCACAACATTAATTATTTGGACACTGCATACAAAATCAGTGTTATGTACAATAAAACACTTTGATTAGGACAGAACCATTTTAAATAACAAATTAACACAAGAACTGTTCACTTCTTTTCCAAATAGACATTGTGAATTTTGCAAGTCAATTAACTTTATTTTCCCACCTTATATTGATATGTCCATTTAAGTTCCAGGATTTGGGTTTTTTTTGTTTTTTTTAAGACAAAAAATATTTCTTTGGGAAAAAGGGAATTTGGAAGCAAACTTTTGCCTGGAAAAACAGCAGAGAGATAGCATATGTTATGCTAAAGGCAATTAGTTAGCAAAGAAAACATAACTGAGCTCTTAAAGGGGAAAATACTGTGTAATTAATGGAAGCACTACACTGTGCAAAGAATTGCTGAGGCTGAATTCTCTACTTAACCCTCTGAAAAAATAACAGGGACGACAGTCACGCCTGGAATACTAGTCATGCTACCCAACTGCCTGCCTCAGATTGCCTTTCACAGATGCAACGCGCAGTCTTGCTGATCTACACTTAATCTTATGTTGGCTGGCTGAGAGACTTCCCGAACTAATAATAGACTGCCTGCCTTGCCACCAGTGGATATAAGCTCCAGCACATTCAGAAGCAAAAATCAATGCTGAAAACCCACAAAGCATAACACATTTTGAGATGGAGAGGGCTTTTAAGAAAGAACCATTCTTTGGATTGTTAAGCAAACCAGAAAGTGTGAAGTTGCAATAGCAGTAACAGCAGGTTTTTTTTTTTTCTTAAAAAAAAAAAAGAGTTACCTGGTAAATGACAACACGAAACTTGTTTTTCCTCAGTATTTCTTCCTGTTTGGTCTCCACCTTCTGCACGTTAACATTCTGCTTCTCTACTCGGACTCTCACTTCTTTGACCCGAGCACTAACTTTGCGTGTTTTCTCCAACAGCTTGTTAACTGTGTATCCTGTGTTGCCATGTGCCTGAGCCAGCTTTAGAATGTCGATCTGAATTGTCTTGATGGCGTCTTCCATTTCTCTGTGGCGCTGCTCAATCCGCTTTTGACTGGCCTGCACGCTATCTACTATAGTGGCTACCTTGTCCAGGACTCTGACAATGGTAAACGCAGCATCTTGTTCTTCTTCGTCATCCGTGATGCTCGACTGGCGATTTGGGTGGATTTTATCCATTTCCAGGGCTGCACGATGATCCATACTGCCCGTCTATGGATCAGTCTACGGGAGTTGAAATATAACAGCCGCTCAAACCTCAGTGGGACAATCCTGGCACTGATGCAAGAAGGTTGTTCGACAGCTGTCTTTAAAGGAATGTTCAAAAGCAGGGTCTGAAACTCCACCCCAAGGCACTTCTCAAATATTTATACCCACAAAATAGCCACGCCTAATTGTTCAAGTGCCTCCTGCAATATGAACCCTCTAAAATTAGGAAGCAGCACTCTGGGAAAAGAACATGCACTGAAAGAAGCACATTACTATAACCAATAAACTTATCTGAGTTAGTCTAGGAACAGTTAAATAATATAGCAATCAAAGAACTAACCCACAATCTGTTAAAATCCATGTTACTTCTATTTTAATTTAAGTTATTATGTTTTTTCTTGTGTTCAGTGGTAGGGAGAGGATCAATGCTTTTTAACAGACCTTTGGCAATTGAAATGACATTTCCCATTTTCTTTCAAAGCACATAGGTTGTTCCTTACAATAATAAATAAACGCATTTGGGACAGGCTAAATAAGAAAAGAAAACATTGCATTGGCATACCTTTCCAGTTGAAATATTCAAAGCCTTTTTATTGAACAAGTTATTTATTCCTACATGCAGAATTGGAAAGCCTAAAACTACATGTTAAACAGTTGGAACACACCCTAGTTACATTTTAGCTCTGAATCTTCCAAACAATTACTAACATCCTATTAATATAATAAATACAACCAGCAGACTTTATTTGGAGACACATTCTCAGCTCTTGAAATTATTCTTTACAAGAGCACATTTTTTTATATTATTTTTGTTTTTTTGCATTTTAATCACAAAGACTGTACAATTGTGTTTGCTGATGTGAAAACAGGTATCTTCTTTAGAAAACTGTAGTAAATATGAAAATTGTTTAAACAGTGGCTAACACAGTTACATCCCTATCAGGTATGTGGATTATTACCATAATTCGTAACAAAAAAGCAATATATTTGTCTGTCCAGGACAAATGTGCTCTGCTCAGCTGAGCAGTTTTTCGAATAATGAACTGTATATTATAATTATTATTTTACAATTTAAAAATAAAGTGTCAACTATTTATGCAGAACATGGCGCTGAAACCTGGGCCATATATCTTGGATTGGATCCAGACTAAAGAAGCAGTCCTTTACATACTTACCCGGGAATAATTTCCATTAAGCTGAATGGAACTTATTTCTGAGGAGAGATGTATAGGATTGCATTCTAAGTTAATTGCACAATTTGTTTTCATTGAAAACAATGGGAATTTAGATTAACTTGTCCACTGATTCTTTTGAGCACTAGGTAGAGCTAACTTAGTCTGGATTCAGCCCATTCTAAATGTAACAACTACACACAAAAACACATCTCCACATTTCATGCGATTGGCAGTGTCTAAAAAAACCCATTACTAAGTTTTAAAAACATTTAAATATCTATGGTATTTAAACACAGTGTCTTCTAATTCCTCATAAGAAAAGTATGTTGTAAACATCTTTACCCTTTTTGCTAGGAAACAGGATGGGCTCCATTTTCATTTGTTGAATAACCATTGGTGAAATGTCTCTCTTTTCAAAATTCTTACATTCCATGATTAAAGCACAAGTCTTATCAATATAATCATGGGATACAAATACAAGAAATAAACTAACTTCTTCCTCAAACCATGAAATGGGAAGTTACTAGAGCAGTCCATAGCTATTAGCTGCTTCCTGGAATAAAACAAATCAGCTACACTAAAAATAATAAAATAACAATAATAATTAAAATGTCCAAAAATAAGGCCTCTGAAATAAATATTTCCATTGTTTTAAAAAAAGTTAATAAAATTGTACATCACATGGTCAATGAAGGTATAAAAAATGATGCTAAACCATTCTGGATGACGTATCTGATGTAAAGTGGCCTAGATTTTGTTTCTGCCGCCGTCCTCTGTTGTTCTGGGGACATTTCCTGTTAACAGATGCAAGCAGGAGAGAAAAATGGATCAGTAAACAAAAGTATTTAAAAACATTTTTTTACAATTATAGGTAGTCGTGGCTTAGTTACAATTGGAACCAACAAGTGTTGCTAAGCGGTGCAGTCCCTAATGAAAATATCATGTGACTGTGACAGACATATGATGTCATTTCCAATTTGGTCATTAAGTAAGTCACGAGTTGTTAAACAAGATATCACATGAACATGACTTGCAATTTTAATACCGGCTTCTCCATTGACGTTGTTTGTCAGAATCCGGTTGCAAAGCACAAAAATATTGATCATCTGACAGTGGGACGCTGTTATGGCTTTAAGCCCCTGCCTGATGTAAAGTGCCCAAACGTTGATCACATGACTACGATGATCAATATTTGCAATGATCTTAAACAGAAGCACTGGTCATAAAGTTACTTGATCAGTGCAGTTGTAACTTTGAACCACTGCAAAACAGGGCAGTCATTCAGAGAAGTCTACATTTATTTATATGTTTGTTTGTTTATTTGCTTTCTCCGCTGTTCCAATCAATAAGTAGCTTCCATATTCTGTGCATTCATAAGAGTAAAAATACAATAACTATAATAAGAGATACTGCAGCAACAACAACAAAACCTTTGCAAGCAGTCCTCGTATTGGGAGCCTCAGAAGCAGTGCAGGGAAAAAGTTTTGCAGCAGCTTCCACCAGTAAAAATAATTCTTAAAAAAAAAATAAAAGAACAGATGCTCTCTCGTCCCGCTTTAATAAGGGGCATGTAAGCATCCTCCATATGCAGCCCCTGACCCTTCCCTTTTTATAGCCCCAGATATTCCAAGGGATTTTGCTCCCTCTCCAATTAGGAAAGCCCCAGGTGAGAATGCTGGAGTATCCAAATAGACAGAAAGGAAGGTACAGTGTCAATTCTAACTGAATGAATGAACATATACATGCTATAGCTAAGAATGCCACCCCATTTCCACCATTTATATCGCTATCATAGCCCTTATGGCGTGTGATACATGAAAACAATATTTTAAGACATTAATTATGGTGGGGGAAGATATTTAGTATTTCTTTTGGGTACATACAATTAATGTAAAACCTCTACAAAGAATACATTTGAATGGAGTAGTCAATGCAGCGATAATGTAAAACCCAATGCCAGCTCCTACTATTTGGAATTACTGTATTACAGGCTTCCCAAAGCAGAGATTCCTGAATCCTTTGATGCAAGAAACTGGTGAGGCTCCCCTTCCTTTTGCTTGGAATTATCTGGGGGAGTTGTAAATGGGCATGTGCAATGAGAAACAAGACATTCCAGGAAGAAAATTAAGATTCATCTAATCAAGAAGCCACTATGAATCATGCTTGGCATCGTTAACCATAATTAAGGCTCGCTAGCTTTTGCCTTCCGATATCCTCTTTCTCCTTCTCTCTTGATAACCTTGTTTGGCTAAAACAGCGTTCCAAACACTACTTGATGGTCAAGTGCCAGGATGAGAAACCAAGACCCAAAGGCTGCAAGCCTACATACATTTACTTAAGATTAAGCTCGTATAACTCAGTGGGATTTACTTCTGAATAAATACGCATAGAATTTAAGTTTATGGCCAAATAAATGCATATAGCAAATCTGAACCTTTAACTGTTTTCCTGGGCAGCCTTATTGCTGAAGAGCTTGTAAAACTGCTTCACTTCAGTGTACCAGCAAAATGAAAAATGAAAGATAATTTTATTTTACTTTATTGAACAACTTCAAAATTATTTTCTAAATTAATTTATTATTAGCCCACTCCGAGTTTGTTGCTAGAACACAGACTATTTACTATCAGCTATCAAAGAAGAGAAGTTAAGATAATTCTAAAATGATATGAAACCCATTCCAGTTGTAGGAGAGCCTTCATCCTCACTAGTTCTGGGTTAATTTCAGCAATTGGAGGCAGTCTGTATTGGGCAAACTATTGCTTACATTGGCCATGATATGTCATCCAGCCAACAAATGTTGACCTTTGAATTATATTTTGTTAAAGCTGTAGGATAAAGTTTTGGAGATACAAAGCAGAAAACTATTTTGAGCACAATTATTGTCCAGCAGGTTGACTGATGTATGAGATCGGTTTTTTGAAAAACAATGCAAGCCACATGAGGACTCAATAAACACAGCATTGTAGAATAAATAAGGTACATGTGGGTGGGTGTGCCTTCAAATCAGTTTGTGACTCCTAGTGACTTCCTGGACAAGTCCCTGTAGGTTTCTTGAAAAGGTTTTTTTTTTTACAAACATTGCCTGTTTCCTAGGGCTGAGAGAGGAGGACTGGCCCAAAGTCACCCAGCTGGGTTTGTGCTTAAGGCAGGACTAGAACTCATAGTTTCCTGGTTTCTAGACTGCTGCTTTAACCACTGCATCAAATGGGATCTCAAAGCTACATAAACCCAGTTTATAAATCCATTGAAACTATCACTGCTTTGTTTGACCGCAGATAGGCCTTCTCCTTCACTCCTGCACACTATGCAATTGAGCTGATAAATTTATTTATTATTGATTGATTGTTTCAGTTTCTAGGGCCACCCAACTCAGTCAAGTGAATAGGTATCTACAACTTCACATGTGAAAAAGTGTTCTTGATAACCCAGTATGCGTTAATATTTTCTTGCTCACAAAGAATATTATATGGAGATCCAAGCACATAGTAAATGATTGACACACATAGAGGAGAGATTCAAATTGTTGTTTCACCATGAGGGATTGGAATGAATCCTGTGAGTGTAAATAGGGCCACAGAGAATCTATCTTTGACATGGGCGTGGATGAGCAAGCAGCAATCCTGTAGAAGTATTTTAAGCCATAGCATGGATTAAAGGAACAAGAAGGGCTGGTATGTGTATCATATTCCAGAGCCTGATTTCCCTTCTATTTCTTTGCTGTACTTATTCCACCCCTAGAAATAACTGAGATGAATGAAACCAACATTCCTCCTTGTAAAACATTTTAACGGAGTTTGAGATCAATTATACAGAAAAGGGGACAGGCAAACAGGATGACAAACATATAGGAAATAATTTGATTCCAATACAGAATTGATGGATTCGGACCTCAGTGCCAACATAT